GTGTAAACGGGCTTCACGGACTTTCACAGCATTGGCAAAAGTCTGATTACAAGGAGAAGACTTTTCCTACACCTGACAACTCTTTCTGACAGTTAGAACCTAATTAACAAGTCCTCCAACTTGTGGAAAATGCTATTTACTCAAGTATGGAGCTCAGAAGAGCACAGGTAGATACATTAATACGAAGAAAGCCAGACAACTCTATGAAACCAAAGTTTGTAGTCATGACAAAGAAGTTCTTCCTCCTAGTTACTCTGGGGTATTCTTAGGTGCACTGAATTCCCTTTGAGAGTAATTGAGTAAATGTGGTATTACATACAAAAACAATGATCCCCCGTCTGTGGGTGCATGTGCTATCTATATGACTGATTGCCACTCTCACTGCAAAATAACGGATGCTATATTCTTAAGATATCACCTAACCTATCGTTTGAAAGGCTTAATGTTTATTCCTATGTAATATGCTTTGCTTCAGAGGAGTATTTCCCACGAAAAAAATGCATTAGGCCCCTAGTTGAATGACCCAGTTTAGTTGGTAACTAAGGAGAGAGGAACTTAGCGACTTCCTTGTCAGAAATTTTATTTTAAGAGACTACCTACACTCTATAAGAGAAATGTTGAAAAGTTGTATATTAGATAAAAGGGGTAGAAACACAAATACCAAAGTACTGCTTTTCCCATTTTTTTTATAGAGAACATTTAAAGAATGAGGAAAACAAAAAAGTTAAATATATGTCAAACAAGCTATTACTAGAGAGTACTAAAATATAATTGAGTTACCATATTTATATGCTAGAACTTGCATTAAGTGCTTTTGATTCATCAGTTCCCCTTCAAACAAATTTAAAGTCATTAGTGGAATCGTGTTATTGAAAAACAAACTTCTTTTTGTTTCGATAAATATTCGTTTTGATATGATACTATTGAATAAATATCGGATGTATAATGAAATAAAGGATTAAATTGTGAAGTTTTTTTTATTTTTTAGAGATAAGTCAAATAATTTCTGATTAGCTTGTATTATCGTTTTTGGTTGTAGGTTTACTGATTTTAAGAATGCAAATTTTAGAGAAATTTGGATCGTAGCATTTTAAAGATGAAATCAATGTGATGGATTTATTATTGTATATTAATTTTATATCGATATTTGTTTAAATTAATTTATATTTAGAAATGTACATAACTTATACTACTGAATATGTATTGCAAAACTCCCGTCTATTCTCTAAAGAAGATTCTCAAGTGTAACAATCAACAATATATGTGTGTACGTAAACGCTACTGTTAGCGTCAATATCGTTACGTAAAACTGAAATTTCGAGAAATTTACCACATGGCTATAAATATAACCAACGCTACGCGCCAAAAAAAACAGTATATATTATTGGTTTGCTATAGTAGGTGTGCTATAAACTTCGGAAGCTATAACTGTGTTTGTTATAATACTTATGAATCGAGACACTTCAGATATTTCACCAGGAACGTTTATAAGTTTCGAACATTACAAAACATTTATACTTTTACGAAAACATTACCGAACTTCATCGGCGGAAAAAAATCTGCGTGTCATCATTGAAGAGTACAGAGCTAGCCTAGCTCCCTGTTAAGTGAATTGTACCTACGTTAACTCCAAATTAACTCGCTCATCGTGAACCGTCGATAAGATATCAAGGAAGTTCTAGATTAGAAAGAAGATTCTATATTACTTGTAAGTTTGTAAAACTTTTGTATATAAACCACTGTCTGTAATTACTATTTGTAATAACTGTTATTGTAAATTGTATTATTGTTTGTATATTAAAATATATTTGTGTTAAAAAAGAAACTGTGTGTGTCAATCTTGTTGGCAAATATCATAAATTGGAGACATATCGGTAAATATTTAATCACTGAATTTAGATTATCATTTAGCTCGGTTTCAGATCATTCGAAATTGTAATACATAACACCAAACACAATAATTTATGTTAGCGTTTTATTTTTCCATCTATTCAGTTTAGTACATCATAATCTTCTTTATTCAACATAAATGTCTAACAATAAAAAAATTTAAGTTACACTGATGCCTTACATAAGAATGGTTATTTTTGTCGTCCTTATAACTTAATCCAACAATGACGTTGATTAATGCTGAGAATACTGAAGATCTCTTCTTAACACAACTTACAATAGAGTTGGTACTAATTTAATACCATATGTAGCATAATGGCAACAATATATTGTTAATTCATATAGTCAAACAATACAAACTGCGTATTTTATGTATAGGTTTATTTTATACATTGAGATGTAGCACACTCAAAAGATAGTTTTGAATTTAATGAATGAAAATAGTGTATTACTGATAACATATAACATCTATAAATATTATACAATTCATGTTGATAGCCAGCATCATGTAATTACAACAGTAGCGTTACAAAAGGGAAACATTTTGAAAAATGTGCTACCCACATAAACACTTTCATACAGTCACATTTGTCAATACTCAAAACACATATCTAGTCATCATTTCACACATTCAAAAGGATGGGCTTTATTTTGCTTTTAGGACATACCATAAAAACCAATTTAATCGTTTAAATTTATGCTCTCACTCTGAACACACAGTCAATGGATGAGATAGAGCAACTTATTTCACGAACTTTGAAACGCGTTTTATGTGGTTGTTTTATAAAATGTGATCACCGTATTCTGTATCAGTGCTTTACTCACGCCAGACGTTAATAAAAGATACAAAACCAGTCTCTGATTAGAATAATTATAAGCTTAAGTTTACATTACACCTGTTTTGTTAATGTATCTCAAAATTTTGTATTGTTTGTTTGTTTGTTTTTTAAGTTAAGCACAAAGCTACACAATGGGCTATCTGTGCTCTGCCCACCACGGGTATCGAAACCCGGATTCTAGCGTTGTAAGTCCGCAGACATACCGCTGTGCTACTGGGGGGCATTTTGTATTGTAAAGAAGCGAATGGAAATTTTATTTAAATAACAAACACGAGTGGTGGTATTTATAGCACATGATTGAGAGTAAATTTTCTTTAAATAACAAACACGAGTGGTGGTATTTCTAGCACATGATTGAGGGTAAATTTTCTTTAAATAACAAACACGAGTGGTGGTACTTATAGCACATGATTGAGGGTAAATTTTCTTTAAATAACAAACACGAGTGGTGGTATTTATAGCACATGATTGAGGGTAAATTTTCTTTAAATAACAAACACGAGTGGTGGTAAGTATAGCACATGACTGAGGGTAAATTTTCTTTAAATAACAAACCCGATTGGTGGTAAGTATAGCACATGATTGAGGGTAAATTTTCTTTAAATAACAAACACGAGTGATGGTAAGTATAGCACATGACTGAGAGTAATTTTTTTTAAAGAACAAACACGAGTTATGGTAAGTATAGCACATGATTGAAGGTACCTTCTGTAAGTATAGCACATGATTAAGGGTACCTTCTGTCATAATTACAGAATTAAAGCTACTTTTTGTATCACAGTAACGGACTAATATATTTCTGTATATATCATATACTGATGATTTGTGTGTCACGCACAGGAGGATTATGTTTTGTATATACAGCACACACATTTTTTTCACCCTATACTTAAATATTACACAGAAACTATTTGTTGAATATATTAAGCACACAATGAATGGGTGTTTTTTGTGTTATCGCATACGATAGAGAATATTTTGTACGTGTCATGCAACACATAACAAGCAAATGTGTTTCCTGCGCATATCTCACTCAAATGGTTTATGTTCTGTATGTATCATACTCACACGACTGGTTTGTTTTCGTAAATGTCGCACACAAGTTATTTGTTGGCTGTATTATCACTCACACATATACATATCTTTTGTTTGTTTGTTTGTAATTAAGCACAAAGCTACACAATGGGCTATCTGTGCTCTGCCCACCACGAGTATCGAAACCCGGATTCTAGCGTTGTAAGTCCGCAGACATACCGCTGTGCCACTGGGGGGGGCTACAAATCTTTTTTCCGTATGTATCACATACACGAATTGCTTGTTTTCTGTATGTGTCACACAAATGGTTTGTTTTCCGTATATATTACACAAATGACCTGTTTTTCATACGTATCGCGTGTATATATATCACACACACACAAATGTTGTTCTGTATATATCACACGCAATAAGCTAAGTTGTGTTCAAATAAATATTATTGTGTTAACTAACCCTTACTCTAATTGTGATGTGTTGTGAAATAATTAAAATAGACGAAAAAATTACCCTTCACCAATATAAGCCATTTCAAATCGTAACAGCTGTTGTCAACCAATTCGCTAATATTATTAGCTTCTCCACCAATACTATGTCTGTCGTATCGCAGTCGCCCTGGTATAAGCGTAAACCTCCTCCACACTGGATAAAGCAGATATAGTGTGGTTGGAGATTATTATATTTTCTGTTTTATTTTCACTCGGAAGTTGTTGTGGTTGTTACATGGTTTCAAAATACGATTGCGATCACTATCCTTACTTTGACTATGTCCTTAGCAGTTGAATTAACATCTGCCACAAGAGCCAGCCCAGCATATTTTATTACTCAGCCTAGGATGGTCAACAGGAGTGGGGTGTCATTCCGAAACCGGTAATTTAGGGTTATTTCGCTAGATTTAGATGAATGAAGCTCGGCACAACTTCTAAAACTAAAGGAACTAAATATTATTGGAAATATGTCATAATGAAATCTATATGGATTGTACTAAGGTGGTATCATACTAGGCATTATACTATCCTTCTTATATTTACTATTCATTGCAGAAATGGTACTTTTAATTTGAGAATTGCTAGAACAGTCATTTTGTAACGTTTCTTGCATGTGCTTCAACTTCAACACTGCATCTTTGAGCTTTACTGTATCGTTAGTTTCACACAATATTGAAACTAATGATTTCTTACATATGATTTCAAACCCCTTTTTGAAGATAACGACACTATTGTACCCGTTTTTTATAACTTCTTCCCTCATCCGACCTGTACCCACGGTTTAGCTTAATCGCTACGCTTAAGCCATCACATTCACTATAGCATCTACAAGATTTCAAGCTTGTTTTATTGCTACATCGTTTTACTTTACATTTACAAATTAACTCCCCCATGTTGGTTTTTGTGATTTTGGGTCAAGTCTAGGGTAACGTCACGGGTCTGGTCCAACAACCTAGACCTTGAAAATAGTGCCAAACGTCTTCTTTTTGTCTAATCCAAACAACTCAAAACTCATTTTTGGATCCACATCAAGTGGCTCATGTGGTAGATGTTAAAACAAAATTGACATTTATATGTTATGTGAAAAGAGATCTAATTCTGAATTCCTCTCGCATGTTTGATTTTTTGCTTATTTATATGTTATGTGGAAAGAGATCTAATCCTGAATTCTTTTCAAATGTTTGATTTTTTTACTCATAATATTTGAAAAACAAACAAATAACAAATAAAATATAATTAAAAAAAGACGTTAAATGAACTGTGAGCTCAAACATTCCAATTTAAAGAATCAGTTTTAGTCGTAACCACGAATATAACACGACAGAAACATTCATGTTACATAGTATAATACTTTGTAAAAAGTAACACACGACAAGAATATTCAGGATACATAGCAACACACTTTGCAAAACATAGTACAGCACAACAATATTCGTGTTACATAACCTCAAACTTTGCAAAACATAGTACACCACAACAATATTCATGTTGCATCAAACTTTACAATGTCTGCTTCACTTGCCTAATGAGTAATGATAAATGTTTTTATTTAAGAAAATACGTTATATGTTATCTGATAAAAATGAAGAATTAAAACCATAATTATTTTGATTTTTTAAATTGTTAAATTATGTGTCAATTTTTACTCTTCAGATGGTGAGAAGTGTTTCATCTGCTTCCTATGACAACATCTATACCAATTTTAGACGGAGAATCTTCAAATTATATTTCACGAATTTCATGAGTGTAGTGTAAAGTCATAGACTGATAAGTAGTCAGTGAGTTTTATACAATAAACAAGTCCTTCGTGACAAAACTGAACTAAAGGTAAAAAGCTCTATTGATAAACAAAATACATAGAAACATTTCATCAAAAACAATGATAAAACCCAATCAGAGATGATAAACTGATGTAGATATATTGGCAAAAATAATATTGAAAAGGAATTCTACCAATAAAATCACGTTCTATACTATGTTTGGTAGTCATTGAAATCCAAGTATTTTAATAACAGATTTTTAAGTGACAACAAACACCAATTGTTCAATTTATGTAGTGTATATTGGTGTATACAAGACATACCAATACTAGTAATAAACGACCTTATAACACCAAATTTGTTATTTTTCTTTAATTGGACACTCAGTGTTTCGCTTTACAGCTTCTTGAGGAGCGTTCCACTAAAACACAAACCGTAACTGACAGTACAATGCTCCAATTGGTTTAAATATTAAATTCGCTCTAAGTCGAAACGTTGAGTGTTCTATTAAAGAAAAATAAGAAATGTGGTGTTGTTAGGTCGGCTATTTCTAATATTGACAAACACTTATTCACAGCTCACATATATGTCATGACACTAAAACTGGCAACGTGCCTTGTTCAACAATAACATGCCCTACTAAAACTATTTGCAAAATCTTGGAAACACACAATTATTTCAGAAAATTATAACATTTTAAAGCAAAGAAACACTCTGGAACATGTAACTATAAAATAAAATTTTCCAATTCATATTATGCAACTTTTTCTTAGTTGAAGAGCAATGAACACACATGCTAATTTAATTTACAATGGTTGTTATTGTTGAAGTTTAACATATTGATGATTTCTTGATACCTATATACACTTACAGAGAACCAAAAATATTGATGGATAATAAAATTACATAAACTGAATAAATAATTCAATAAATTACTAAAAACAAAGGTAAAAGCATGGCAAAAACAAAAACAAATAAATCCAGAATGAATAAGCATGAAAAAAAAGTGTATACCATAAAGAAAATCCTTCCTTAGACCATCAGGCATTCACATCACAACGATAACATTACCATATCCAACAAAAAGAGTTGTGTTAGAATAATAATAAATTTGCAGAAAGACGTTCAATTAACATGAAATTTTACAAAGCTATGCTAATTAGAAGCAAATAAGTATCTATACATTAGGTAACCGTAAGGAAATGAGAACAAAAATTTGGCAACATGGTTATAGGTTGGCAAACAGACCTTATGATTAGGTAAACAACATGTATATTGGATTGGTAATAATCACGTCGTATTAAAACGTGTAATATGGTTATACACCGATAAACAGACCTTATTATTAGGTAGACAACATGTACATTGGATTGATAATACTCATGCTGTTGCTAAGTGTATGCAGAACAGAAGAAGTAGCGTGTAATGAGTAGCGATCGTGGAAGAAAAGAGGACAACCGTTTTGTTTGATACCATCTGAAGGGTATTTCTACCTTACGCATGGTTGAACCATACTCGTGGTTATTTGAATATAGCTGTATCAATCTGGGTTTTCATTTTCCAGATTATCACCTAATACTGATACATTTTACAGGAGACTGCTCGGAAAAGTCCAAAAAACTTGGGGCGATGTCCACCAGGGGATACCACTGTGCTACAGGATGGCGAGGCGTGTCCAACATTTTCAACCAATGATCTCTTCCCAAACCAATACATTGGTTTCCAATAGCACAACAGCCAAGCATTTCATTTGCTCCAACTCTGTATAGAAAAAAACAAACAAACTTGATAATAAAATTAATTTTATTGTATACGAGAAATTATAAATGCGAACGTTTTCTTTTTTTTTTGTACGAACACTGAGCGACAAACAGTCAAAGAAACAACAAATCAAGTACCGATGGTGACATTTTATACAGGACCACGAGGTGTTCAGGAAGCTTTTACATCATCAACAGTACTCGCTGAAATTTGTTTTAAATTAGATTTATTATTTACTGTATGTAACCAATTGTTATCCTAGAACAAATTAAATCCGTTAGAGCATGCATGTTTAACAATTTATTCTAGTATTCAGGTACATTTATATCTAGCAGAAAAGTCAAAAGTTCCAATTAAACACGAACAATAAAAGAATCTGGTTGCTACTGGATGACTTTTTTTGCAGAAAACAGTTCGCCTGTCACAAGCAACGTTGTCTGACAATTCCTTCAGTAGGCTGTTCTTAAGATAACAGTGCCTGGACTCACACCAGAAATAATAACTTTCACGGCATACGATAGATTTGGAGACGCACCTCTTCACACACGTCTAGCTTCTCGCCATTCGCCAGAATGAAGTTCATACTGAATGGTCGAAGTGGTTGTCTAACACAGAGAGTTCAAGGTTGAGTAAGGTGCTGGTTGCTCCAGTACCTACTAAAAATTGATCCTTGAGTTGTTATCAGCACATAACATGTGACACCTACTCCATTGTTTTCAAGAACATCCACCAAGGCGAGCTCACTGCTGCGCCCAGTCAGCCAGATCCAACTCCAGCTCTACTAGTTTAAACCAATATTTGCAGCCACTGCTTATCTCCTACCTTTTGACATTTGTTACTGTGCTGGCTTAAAAGGTGCGTGCAACCAATGGTCCTGTCTGCTTCACTTGCTTTGAACTCGACCCTATAGATTGCTTGCTTCTCCACAGAGTAAAATTTATGGCACAACTCATTAACAACAGTGTCCCAGTTATTGAGTCACACTTCATCTGAATGTTCTATGACACCAAGCACTGGAATGTTTAAATCCAGCATTAGATTTACACTGTCTGTCCCTGAGTTCATCCATTTGAAACAAAAACTTGTCTGAAACATTTGATGCAACAGTACAGGCCCTCATTTGCTGTTCTCTTGGATGTTGGTAGGTTTACTTGCTTTACCTCACCATTGTGTGGCCCACACAGGTTTCAACTACTAGTTTTTCTATGGCCAAGATGTCATAGAGAGTTCAACTCCTTGAAGTTATGAGACTTGTAAATCCTCATGGATGTGGCATCGTCAGGCTAAGTCTTCAATATGATAATGCATGGTGTGGTAACGATCACCATCGTTGCTATCGTGACGATGGTACATAATATTACATACTTTGTCGTCACAGCCCATAGTGTTTTCAGCCGCTGGATCATAACAAGATGACATCTGCTCTATTTGATGGCGTTGCGATGAACTTCGTTCAGTGAATGCATGTCGCCACTCTCCTCACACCTTGGTGACTTCACACAATGACTTGCGATGTTGAAGCTTTTCCAGGTGTGCTTTCGAGTCCCACGTAAACCACCCTAGTACGTGTCAGGATGTTTAAACCACTTGCTATCACCACGACACCTTTGCTGCTGCCCTATTCTAATGCATACAGGGTGTAACTATTTGAAGTTGCATTGAGGTCATCCAGGATTGCCCAGTGGGGCGCCCTCAAAAGAATGCTGACATTGCTCTCAACATGACTGGTGAAAGTTCTAGGTCCAGAAGACTTCTTTTCCAAGACTTTGCCATATTCTTGGACAGAGTCCTCACTAACATTCTAGATATTTCGTCTCCACAATAAGTGGTCTCGTAAAGTTACCTTCCATAATAGCATAATTTACAATTGTTACTCTGCCAAGGAGTCAACAGAAAAAATAACCCCTTCAATATGATATCCACAATGACAAATTTTTTGTTTGCAGCATCAAAATGTTTCTTTTTTAAATTTAGTTGGTGGTATTCAAGTACACTGATATCCAGAAGAAAATTCAAAAGTTTTTGCAAAATTCAGGTTGAGAACTATTAAATAAAGAATAAATTGAACATAGACATTAAAGGAAAAAAGAAAATACAAGTCTATTTTAATAACTCTAAAACAAGCACATTCTTCTATTATTCAAAACTAATTGGGCTTCTTTCACTTCTGTGGGCATTAGGTTTACTGTTCTCTAAGTAAAATGTTAAAACTAGCCTATCCACGCTTCAATTTTCCACAGATGTTTGATTTATGCATTTTGGATACTAATATAAGTTAGGTTCTTCGTCTGTATTGTCTAGCTGCTGAGGTTGGTAAGACAAAAATCTAAATCATTCAAGAGAGTCCAAAATCAGGAGCAAGAGACAGAACTATGAAAAAGCTTGCCTTATATACCCGAGCAAAATAAAGAAATATATTCCACAAGTCCATAGGTTATGTAGTCCAACCAATGTTCCTCACATAGCCATAATTCAAGCAAGGTATAAGTGTTTCTGTATTGTTTTTTTTAAATGGCTTTTTTAAGGAAATCCATGCAGAAAGGTGTTTATTTATTTGAGATGGCTGCTAAATCCTCAAAAGCATGGGATAAAAGTAAGAGAAATCACCGTTAAAAAAGCTATATAATTTAAAAAAAGTATGAAAGCTGGTAATGTGGTTTTCAATGACGTTATGTGTATCTATGGTAAACAGCTTTGACAAAATAGAAGTGATTATGTTTGTTTTGAAATTAAACATTAGTCGTTCTCGCCAAAGACAATAATAGGAATAGGAAGGAAAATGAAGCATGTGAAACGACGCTATCACAAAAGAAGGGAAAATAAAGTAAATTATTTAGAAGAAAATAATAAAGATAAAAAGAAAAAAATATGAAAAGCCAGTAACTGGGACTGAGAACAATATACGTGAAGTATAGGAATAATTTGATTAAGGATTAGAAAAACGTAACTAATTAAAAATCAACGATAGAGTAAAATAAATGATAAAGATTGGAATCTAAAGTAGATATTTTTCTGGCACAGGTAGGATAAAACTTACCGACTGTACAACAGATATTTACATTGGCAGAGAATGAAATAAAATTAGTCATCACTGATAACAAGAATAATGTTAAAGACAGAGAAATGAACAGTGTTTAAAGTGTCAATCCAATATGGTTTTTTTTTCAGATTTAAACTTATTTATTATACCTAAAGAAAACTATATCATTGACAAAATGTTCAGAATATTGAAAATGTCAAGAGAAAAAATGGTTAAACTATAGGAGATGTTGAGAGACAGAATGCTTTTTTTTTGGGGAAATGCTAATAGATCTATAGTATCATTGACGTTTACGTATTTTACGCCAATTAAAATAAATACTTTCGCTATGTTTGTCGGAGTAAGGCTCGCCATTTTTAATGAACTTGCAAATGTAACATGTACTTTATTCAATTTGCTGGTGATATGTACATCATTTCACAATTAACCGGGACATCTTTGAATTTTGACTTTGTATTAGTACAATAAATAACAAATACTTCTGACAATTCTGTTTGAAGCGTGCAGTAGGCTGAAGTTAACAAAAATGGTATTTACTATACATGAGATATTGTGAATTACGGAGAACTGTATGTGACGAAGTGAATGGTCAAGTGGAAACTTATTTTTTTGAAGAAACTCTCCATCGGCTGACCAACTAAAATTATGTCAACATTATATAGCTTTCAGTTCTTTTCTGTAAGAGCTAACTTTTCTCAGTAAACGATTGTTTGTTTGTTTTTGAATTTCGCGCAAAGCTACACGAGGGCTATCTGCGCTAGCCGTCCCTAATTTAGCAGTGTAAGACTAGAGGGAAGGCAGCTAGTCATCACCACCCACCGCCAACTCT